ATGCATCAGAAAAGGAGAGGATTTTCCTCCCATCCTCCTTCTCTAAGCTGTGGGTAAACAGTTCGCATCTTAATAAGATCCTTAGAAGAAGAGAATGAGAGAGAACAGCTCAGATGGAATCACAGTCCACCGAGTTAAGTAGTTAACCCTTTGGATGCCTACAATTAAACTCAGAGGCACTTACTTTCTGAAGGAGCACCAACTCTTGACAACCTTTCTGAATACCCTGTTAAACTGCCCCTTTCCTTGGAGATTGTGTTGTGAAGGTTTCAGAGAAAATCTGCTTCTTCCATTTCTTCCCAGGCCTCGGGAGGCTCATTTTCCATATTAAACAAAGCATCATACATTCCTGAGAATGCCTCTCCCACAGACTTGTTTTGACAACCAGGAGGGAAGATGGGAGGCCGGTAGAATGGGCTGCATGAGAACCCAAGAGGATCTAGGAGAGCCCTTTCCAAAACACTGGTTGATTATTTCCAGCTCCCTGTCAAGCTGGGCTTCTCAGAGAGCAGCATTTATCAAAGGGGAGACACCCGGTTCTCTAATTACCTTCCCCTGTGTCAGAGGTGTGTTCTGAGCCTTTGTCACCTTGATGGTGACCTGTTAATGTCCATGATTCTGGCCAAAGATTTGTTTATGTGTTTCCCTGAATAGGTTGAGCATTTATCAACCATTATTGGTATTTCATAATTCTTCCTCTTGGTGTTGTAATTAGAATTCTTTTGCATTCTCGAATTTTGACATATGATTGTTTTTGTATGGGATACTTTGGTTTCAAAACCATGCAGTTTTCCCCTTGTGTGTTTGTACGGGCATGCAAAAAAGGAGCTCAGGAGACAGGATTCTCCTAAGACTTTCAATCACAATGCTTTCTTTCCAGAAAGCCCCATTTGGCACTATTTTGGTAATGGATTTTATCATTAAGTTATGGGTTTCCCCGCCTTTATATCTCCATGGCAGGCATTACTTCCCATTTTATACAGGCAAGGAGAGATGATTGCCTAAAATCTTCATGATTTTGCTTCCTCCCCAGAATAGCACTTTTGTCGTTATGTAGCAAGAATATCTACACAGATTTATTTGATAAAAGATTCTATTCAAAGGTCTGGGTACTGATTAACGCTGCTTGGCCCACTGAACAATGGGTGTAACCTGGGTTTGATAAACCAAATAAGACCTTTGTCTTGTTTTGCTGACTGGCAAAATTGCCTGTACCATAAAATCCTTCAGCCTCCAAGGAGAGGCCAGGATTCTTCTGCTCTGACCTGGTTTTTATCTCCTGTCCCTGATGGGCAGTTGAATCGAGGGAGGCACGTGCTGATAGGAAAGGCCTTGAGTATGTGTGTGTGTGCACTTGTGAGCGTGTAGGTGTCTATAGCACACTTGGGCACACGCTCACAAATATACCACCAGCTGAGATCCTTGCTGTGGGGGATGGGAGGGTGAAGCTGCCAGGTGAACATGGAATATTGTTTGTGTCCAGCTCTTGCTCCAAAGTATCCACATCCTTTTCCTCACCTGCACTGGTCTGGGTCACTTTGCTCAGGTGGATGAAACAAAGGCCTAAGGAAATTCCAGCTCCAGTAGTTTCCTGAAAGAGCTCCTCTGGTATCCTCTTTGATGTCCGGAGGATAGTGAGTTTGAGTATGAGACTAGACTAGCACGAACCCACCCCTCTCTTGGGAAAACGGCTTGGGTTTGTTCCAGAATGGGGTCAACAGTGTCGCGCTTATTTCCTAAAAATAGCCCAACTTGCTAAAGACTTTTTTTTTTTAAATGGAAATCTACTATACCATAGTGTAGGTCTCACAACTCTCAGAGTCCTCCCTGTATCTTCGGATGAATCCCCGAGAGAGTGGGTTCCTTGCCCCAATTCCTAACATGGATCTGGTCTTCAAGATGAGAGAAAGAAATGTTAGGAAAGCCCCACTCCAGCAAATGTGATGCCTGTCCATTAGAATGCATTACTCGGAGGAACTGAGGATGCTTAGCTGGGGCGGGGGGGTGGGTACTCTCAAAGGGGATCAGGCTTATAGCTTTAAAATACTCAAAGGGCTGCCATGGAGAGGAGGAAATAGACTTATTTAAGGGTGGAAGGGTGGAAGTTTCCAGAAGGAGTATTTTGGTTCGATATAAGAGCAATTGTCTAACAGTCATCCAGCAATGAATGGAAAGCTTTCTTGAAGGTGCAGAGAAAGGGTCCAGTCTCAAGACCCTGCATGCAGAGGACAGCAGGGATGTTGTAATGTAAATTCCAGAAGTACGTGAGGTTCAGAAACTGATGACCTCCAACGTTCCTTCCAGCTCTAAGATTATATGATTCTATATCTGTAATTTTCCATTTCCCTATTAAGAAAAAATTTTCCACATTCAAATTTTTTTTTAGTATTTGATAAAGGTTGTAGGATGATTTCTGCTCTCTTTGTTCTAACATGGGGCTTACCCCTTTGCTCCATGGCTTGACAAGACATAAACACATCAGTGCTCTTTGTTGGACAGAGATGGGAGTTTACTGCTGGGCGGGAAGGTGCTGGTTACATGGGGCCTGGAGTGGAGAAGTTGGGAACTCCCTATCTTGCCTCCTACCCAGAAATTCCTCCACCCAAAGGATATCTTACCTCAGTCTTGGATGGTGGACACAGCTGAAGTGGTCTGGAGCCTGACTGCTCCTTAAACCTACTACCTCAGCAGTTCCTCTAGCATTCTTCCAACCCCCTGTCAATTCCATAGCCTTCTCATGGACGCTGTATAATATGGATATCTTCAGGAATCCTCAGAAGCTCTTACCTAACTTGAGGACAGAGTGAACTTTCCTTGAAAGCTGACTGTCTTTCAAATGCTCCCTCCACTGAGCTATCATAAAAAATAAAAACCTTCTCTTAAAAAAAAAAAACAAAACAAACAAAGAGAAACACTAACCTAAACACTCATTATGTACTAGATTATAACTTTGACTTTAACTTTTAAGTGGAATGTTCTTTTGTTTAAACAAAATCTTTGCCTTGAAGCAAAGATTGACTGGGTGATTTTTTTTTCTTTCTTACAGTTACTTTGAGAACACCCTTTCTCTCTCTTTTGGGTTAAAGGTATATTGCAAGGAGAGTTCTAGGAGTTGAAAGTAAAAGCTGATAATTTGAAAATGAATAAATGCATACTAACTGACTTTATATCAGTGTTCACTTCCATTAGTAGAGTGTGTCAATGATCTGAGATATGAAGACCTCACCCTTGATGTAATCCCCTGGGGGACCCAATGCTCAGCTCTTCCAGCAATCAGCAAGGAGAGGTAAGCGTTAGCTATCAGATCCCTTTAGCTAAATTTCAAACTAAAGGCCATGAACAAAGCTGTTCAAAGGTGTTCAATTAGTCACCGGAGGAATATGAATCAAAGAGACACTGAGATACCATTACACATCTATCAGAATGGCTAAAACTTAAAAAGAATGAGATATTCAAGTGCTGGGGAGGATGTAGAGCAACTTGCAAACTCACGCACTGCTGGTGGGAGTGTAAATTGGTACAACCCCTTTGGGAAACAGCTTGGCAACATCTGGAAAAGCTAGAATGCCCATGATCCAGCAATCCCATTCCTAGGGATATACCTAAGAGAAAGGAGTTCATATGTTTTCCAAAAGAAATGTGTACAAGACTGCTTTTGCAGTTTTATTCATAGCACCCCCAAATGGGGACCCACCACAAATGTCCACCAATAGGAGAATGGATAAATAGGTTGCAATGGAATCCAACACGGAAATAAAAAAAAAAACAACTGAAATGACTGACACCACAACATTTTTTGAATGAAAGAAACCAGACCCCAAAGAGTATTTCATTTAAAGAAAGTTCAAGAACAAGAAAAGGCATCTATGATGATGCAAAACTATGATGACTGTGGTAGGGGGTAGGAAAGGGAAGTTGGGATGAAGGAGATGTTCTGTATCTCAGTCTGGGTGGTGATTTCATCATAGGTGTATGCATTTGCAAAAATCCATCAAGCTGATAATTTAAGATTAGTGCAGTTCAAATCACAGTGGGATACCACTTCATACACAACCATTAGGAAAACAAAAAGGACAATAACAAGGGTTTTGTTAGTGAGGATGAGCAGGAATTGGAGCCCTTGTAGATGGCTGGTGGGATTGTGAAGTGGTTTTTTAGAAAACAGTTTGGCAGCTCCTCATAAAGTTCAACACAGAACTACCCTGTGGCCAGCAATTCCACTCCTAGGAATATATTCGAGAGAACTGAAAACATCCGTCTGCACAAATATCTGGATGTGAATGTTCATTGCAGCTTTACTCACACTCGCTCGAAAGTGGTAAGCACTCAGATGTCCATCAACTGATGAATGGATAAACAAAATGTGCTGTATCTACCCAGTGAAATGTTCTTTAGCAGTAAAGAGGAATGAAGTATTGATACCTGCTCCAACATGGATGAATCCTGGAAACATGTGAAGTAAAAGAGGCTGGTCACAAAGGGCCATATGTTGAATGATTCCATTCACATGAGATGTCTGGGATGGTAGACCGGAAGTAGATTAATGGTTGCCAGCGGCTGGGAGCGGATGCAAGGAGGAGGGACTACTAATGCGTACAGGGTTTCTTTCTGGGGGGATGAAAATGTTCTTAAACAGTGGTGATGGTTTGCAAAATTCTGTGAATATGGTAGAAACCGTTGAGCCGTACACTTTAGAAGGGTGGCTCAGTCGGTTGAGCGTCTGACTCTTGGTTTCGCCTCTAGTGGGTAGTGATCCAGGGGTTGTGAGATCGAGACTGCATCAGGCTCTGTGCTCAGTGGGGATCCTGCTGGAGATTCTCTCTCTCTCTCCTTCTCGTTCTGCCCCTCCCCCCACTCGTGCACTCTCTCTCAAATGAATAAATAAGTCTTTTTAAAAAAGGGTGAATTTTATGGTATGTGTATTACATTTCAATAAAATTAAAAAAAAAGATTAGTGCCCTTTGTGTGTATTACATTTGAAAGAGAGAGAGAAGAGTAAAGATGGATTCTTCAACTGAAAACAGGGAAAGAAATGTGAGTTAAGGAAAGAGAGAAGAAATCTCATTTGCTTGAACATCTTCCCAAAGTGCCAAGTACTTTGTGTAGAGCATTTCATTTAGTTGTCACAGGAGTCCTATTACACAGGCATTTCCACATGAAAGATGAGGAAACTCTCTTCTTCAGGAACTTGCTAAGGTTTCCAAAGCCAGGAGTTGGGGTCCACGGCTGTTTCTTTTCCCCCTCTTCTGCCCCTCAGGTGCCTTCCTCCAAGGGCTAGCGTTGGCCTGGGAGCTGATTTTGTCTGGAATACTCAGGTGGCAGAAGAGGACCCTGAGACCTAGGCATGTGATATGGCTTGTACTAGATCCCACAGCCAGCCTGTGGCAGAGCTGAGTTAAACCCTGAGGTACAAGTGTAGGATTCTTTTGTTAATAGTCGATAAAATTAGTAGCACTGTACTAAGCCCCTAATTAAATAGCTCTGTTTGGTCCAGTCATCTCAGAGAGCAATCTGGAAGGGTCTCAGTGTAGTGAGGATACGTCCACCTGGAGCTGAGAACCCCCTACTGGGATTCTCACTCAGAGCATTTCTTGGCACGGGGCATCAGAATATTCACTTCAGCCTTGTTTGTGGCAGGTTAATGATCCATTTCCAAGGGAATGGGTAAGTTAACTGTGGCAGGCAAATACTATGGAATATTCCCAGCTCTTAGAAGCAGGGAACTACAGGCACATTCCATAATACGACAGTTTTCCTAGAGCTGGGGAAAAAAAAAAAGCAGGCAACCAAATGCTCTTTAGCGCATACTGTTCATAAATTAAAAACACAACTCCCCACAAAATAATACCATATATTTTGTAAGGATATACACATAACAAAGACCATCTAGAAACACATTTGTGTAGTGACCTTTGGGGTGAGGGCAACGCAGTGGGCATGGTGATGCCTTGAGTAGAATAGCAGGATTAGCTCAATTCTTTATCCCTGAGGCCTTGGAATTTTTTTTTTTTAAATAGCATCAGATATTTTATGGAGACAGAAAATTGTCTCCTTTATTTAACTGACAGAGGCCTGAGTTCACCTGGAAGTGTCTAAATCAAAATCTACAAACAACACCTTTCAAAGTAAGGAGAAATTCCAAAGAGAGCGGTCCCTGGCTGGGTGGCGTTCTTCTGCAGATGCTGCTGGCCTTTCAAGGACAGCAGCTCACAGGGGCTCTTTACTCCTTTCCACTCTGACATTCATGACACACATCTTCTTGAAGGCAGACAACCACACTGTCTTCCTCAGAAAGCCCACTGGCCTGGAAATGGGTTCTAGGTGAGGAAAATGAAGGCACAGAATGGGAACATGATTCAGCTAAGGCAGGTATTATGGAGCTGAGTTATAGCCAAAATTTGTATGTTGAAGTCCTAATCTCTCCGTACCTCAGAAAGTGACTATGTTTGGAGACAGGGCCTTTAAAGAGGTAATTAAGTTAAAATGAGGCCATTAGGGAGGGCCCTAATCCAATCTGACTGGTGTGTTTATAAGAAAAGGAAATTGGACACACAGACCCAGGGGGTGGGGGTGGGAGACATGTGCAGAGAAAAGGGCTTGTGAGGACATACTGACAAGACAGCCATTTGCAAGCCAAAGAGACAGCGCTCAGAAGAGATGAAACCTACCAAGACCTTGATCTTGGACTTCTGGTCCCCAGAACTGTGAGAAAATAAATTTCCATTTTTTAAGCCACTCAGATCATTGTCCACTGCCAATAATTTCTTTACAAGTGCCACAGGCCTGAGTAAATATGTAAATATATTTAATTCTATGAGATTTTATGACAGCCCTAGCAAACGAATACAGTAGGAATCGACAGAGCTGAGATGTAGCTTCACGAGGTTAAAAACAAGTCTTGGTCCTCTGGCCCCTGATTGGTTAAGTTGTCCCGGAGGTCTTGTCTTCGTGAGCAAAACTCTGGGGAAGTTTTCCTATTAAAGACACCGCCGAAGAAGTGTCCACCTGGAGCCCTGGGATTCTCACTGAGCCTGGGAGGCTCAGTTGGTTTAGCATTTGAGTCTTGATCTCAGGGTTGTGAGTTCAAGCCCTATGTTGGGCTCAATGCTGACTACTTTAAAAAACAAAACCAAACCCCATCTTTTGGGAGTTGGAAGAGATGACTAAGGTGGATCTCTGGGAAGAACAAGAAGAATTCAATGAACTCACCCAGTCCCAGCACCCTACAGTTAGGGAAGCCTTGAGCAATTGGCCGACTGACAGGGCACCTGGCAATTATGGGGCCCCAGGTGAGGGGGAGTCACCATATTTGGGGAGATATTTGGGGAGAGACATTCAGCTGGAAGTGCCTCTCAACTGCCAATAATTCCTTTACAAGTGCCACAGGCCTGAGTAAATATGTACTTCTCATGAGCTTTTTTTAAAGACTGCTCACTCAAACAGCCCATTGTAGGTTTTTTTTAAAAAAGCCCAAGTTCCTTCTGCTATCAGACCAGAGATTATTGTTCCTATATCAAAGGACCAATGAAGGTTAACAAAGTTCAGGAATGGAGGGGCTGAGTCTGGTCAATCCACAGGGCTGGGGAGGTATGCCAGTACCATACACCCTAGGAAAATGTCCCAGTGGGGAGTAGAGAATAAAGGTTACTTCCTGTACTCTTGAGTTTTAGTGATGTTGAGACAAAGCAACACCCGGTGCTCTTGATAGAATTCATAGTGGCCATGTTCTCACTCCTCAGTGTCACCGGTCTTCTAGGAGCCAAGGAGTTTTATTGGTAAAGGAGAATAGACACTGTGTGCCTGTGTATTTGGGGGGATACCTTGTAGCAGCAATTTGGGGTGTAGGGATGTGATGGGAAGGTAGGGGTAAAAATAGGCAGAAAAAAGGGGAGGAGGGATAGCTCAAGTTCCATTGGCTCCCCCGAAAGTTTTGACAACCTCCTAAAACTTGGGCTTTTTTTCAAGGAGCAGCAGGCAACCTTGGGGCCTGCCTTAGAGCCTTGTTAATGATCACAGGCAACATTGTTCCCACGCTATTACCCTACTGGTCCATGACAGACCAAGCCAAGTCCTATAGGATTTAAGGCAGCCCAAGCCTGTCTGGGCCATTTGTACTTGTTTGCTTGGTTGGTCCAGTTGAAATACCTGTTGAAGAAGGTGTCTCAGTTTATCTTGGCTCAAGGAGATTGCCTACTTCCCATACCCATATTCAAGGAACTGTGGCTGGAACCCAGCTAGATAGTCCTGGGGCTTCATATTCTACATCTACCACTTAACATGGTGTGAGACCTTGGCAAACTACATAATACGTGAGCCTCAGTTAGCCCAACCATGAAATGGGAGAATCATTTTGATTCCATAGGGTTGCCGAGAGGAATAAGTGAAATAAAAATATAAAATGCTCCTGGCACAGGGTGGGCATTTAAAAATATTAATATACATCCTTTCACTAAAAGGAAGTTTGTACCATCCATCCATCCATTCATTCATTCAACAAAAGCTTATTTATCTCTTTATTAAAAATTTTTTGGGGGACGCCTGCGTGGATCAGTCGGTTAAGCGTCTGCCTTCAGCTCAGGTCATGATCCCAGGGTCTTGGGGTGGAGTCCCACATCGGGCTCCCTGCTCAGCAGGAAGCCTGCTTCTCCCTCTGCCTGCCGGTCCCCCTGCTTGTGCTCACTTGCTCTCTCTCTGACAAATAAATAAATAAAATCTTTTAAAGAAAAGTGTTTAAAAAAATTTTTCGTGTTTAAAAAAATTTTTTTTAAGTAGGCTCCACACCCAACATGAGGCTCCAGCTCATAACCCTGAAATCAAGAGACACGCTCTACCAACTGAGCCAGCCAGCACCCCGCTCAACAAAGTTTTATCGAGTGCCAACTAAAAGCTAGCAAATGATGCCCCCTGCACTTCGGCAACATGGTGGCCCAGATATCCCTGCCCTTATGAAGCATTTAGTCCAGTGGGTAAAAGGCAAAGTGGAATCAGGTGTCAGGGAAATTGTGGCATCATGTTTTCTCAGGCTTGTTCTCCGATGTCTTGTCACTTGGCCATGGGGCTAGACATGAACATGATGCTCAAGGGGAATTCTGTGAACCAACCTTGAGAACAAGATCACGGTGACTCACAACAGGTTAGTTTCCGTCAGCAGCACACAAAGGGCTGAGGACAAGGTCAGGGAGCTCAGCAGCTGTCACAACAATCAGCACCATCTCCTACTTATGTGGGACTCTTCTCCCCTTGCAAGCTAAGTGTTTTCCGGGCATTACTCAGTGAATTCTCACAGCTTCCTCAGGTGGCAGGAGGGGCGGAGATTATTAGAGATGAAACATGCATGGCGAAAAGATAAGTGCCTTGCCTGAAGTCACACAGCCGGCAGAGGCACTGGATCCAGAATTGGGTTGCCCAACTTGTAGCCCATTGGCTCACACTCTGACCATCAGGGCCATGAGGTCAGGATGCTGTGTGCGGCTGTGGCAGGCGGGGCTGTTGGTGGTAGGACAGTCTTCCCGCTTGTTGGTACAATGAGGGTTCTAATTCTGCACTGTATTCTGTTCAGGTGGCTCTGAGTGTTCCATTTAGGGATATCCCAGTGTCCGGCTCTTCCTTGTCCCTTGATACTGTCCTTAGGATGTTAATGCAGTGGGACCCTAGAGGCAACCTAGCCCAATCCCTTTGTGGTACATATGAGGAAACTGAGGTCCAGAGAGAAGAAATGACTTGCCCACGGTTCCACAGATGGGAAGTGGCTGAGCTAGGTCTGGAGCTCAGCTCCCAGCCACCACCAGCGGCCCTCCCCGCTCTGCCACTGGGAGGGCTCCCAGCAGTGGCCTGGCTTTACAATCCCAACCCTCCCTGTTCTCGTCTGCTGCTCCTGACATTCACGTTGGAGTTTCTCCCAGCAGAGCGCCTCTTTGGGATTTCTCTTGGAGCCCTGTCTGCCTTGAGAGCTGTCTTGGGTACTAGCCACAGGATGGATGCCTGGAACTCGCAGCGAATCCTGGAGCGTCCAAGGAAGGGAGCCAGAAGCTGCTGCCATACTTGCTCTTGTCTGCAGCACCAGCTCTTCTGAATCACCTTTCTCGCTTGAGTGCCGAGTGCACTTAGCACATGTGGGAATATTTTCCGATGACAGTAACTTCTTCTCCACCAGAGATAACATCTGTGTTAGTAAACTGTTTTACCCACCAAGCTTGCCACTTTCTTCCACCACACGGTCACACACCTCGGGGGCCTCCTGTGCTTCAGTCAGCGGCCGCCATCTTGGACAAAGCTGTCTGCGGCCTCTGTCCGCTCACTATCCTGCCTCTCCCATCGTTTGCCTTCTGGAGTCTTGTGGGCCAGCCAGACAAATTACACTCTGCTTCACCCTACAGGGTCCCCACACTTGAAGCCTTCTGGTACAAATGTGGGTAGATGGCTGTGGGTGGGAACGATCTACTTTTTATGCTTGGATTTTGATGTCACCTTAGTGTTTTTTGGGGTTTTTTTGATCTTCTCTCTCTCTCTCTCAGGGTCCTGGGAGCAGGGAGGCTTAAACTTTGTAGATCCCCATGGCCTGGTTTCTTGGTACATTCACATGGACCTCACAGACACTGCTGCCGCTGGGACGTTACTGCCGAGGACTGTTGCAGATGGACCTCTCTCCCTGCCTTCCCATTTCCCCCCAGTACAGCTGGCCTGATCCCTGCCATCCCACAGGGGCTTGCTGCAGAGGCCCCACGGCCCTGGTTCACAGGAAGGCAGGAAGGGAGAGAGGAAAGGTCCAGGCGCAGTGAGGTGAGAGATCACTGATTCTATTATAAGATGAGTCCCCTGTGGCCCAAAGGTGAAGCTGTCTAGTGACACAGCTCTAAGATTCTACAAGCACTGATGGGAGGCCTTCCCATGGAGCTGTGTTAGAGCGCTCAGCACGTTCTTCTTGGTCATGAGAAATCTGCTTTGGGTACCCGCTGCGTGTACTACCTGCCCCCGTGGGGTTATCTAGCGCCTCTCTTCCTGATGCTGCAAGCATTCTACATCTATCTCGTCCAGCCGCACGCTCTGAGAAGTGGTATTATAACCGCCATCTTGCAGACAGGGACACTGGGGCTCAGAGGAGGTGTGGCACATGAGTGGAGTGAGCCTGAGAACACAAGTCTGACCCCAGCTTGCAGGTCATACTGTATTCTGTCCTGTCCACATTCACACCTAAACCCAAATGGCAGGAAAAATGGCCTCAGAAGGAAAATAGTGTTAGTCATTTATCTGATGGTAAACATAATTTTTGTTGACTGTAAAAAATTCCGATGGTCACCAAATTTGGGATATAGATTCC